AATAAAAATTGTTCATAAAATAATAAAAATATTAAAATTTGTTTGTATTACTATTTAGTTTGCAAATTTATTGTGTAAAAACAGATTTTTTAAAGCACTAGTTTCTTCAAACTCACGAGTTAAAAAATCTGGTTGAAAAAATAATAAAAACTTTACTCTGAAATATTGCAAATTAAATACTTTCTTAATTGTTATCTTTTCAAAACAAAAAAAAAATTGACTTAAAAAAATAATAAATATATATTTTCTAACTCTAACAGTGCAAATTATAAATTATTATCTTTTCAAAACAAAAATACAATAAAAAAATATATATTTTTTTTAAATGTGAAGGAGAAAACTATAAATTTTCGAAATTTTTTTCAAACAAAGCACATTTTTTGGCTTATTATTTATAAAAAAATTTTGTTTCTAGCACTAAAAAGAACAATAAAAAATCGCAAAAAAAAAATTAAAGTAAAAAACAAAAAATCGAACGAAAAATGGCACTAAAATACATACGAGCACATATACATATATTAAAGAAAGAAAAAAAAGTAAACAACTCAACTTGAAAATAATAAAATATTGCAAAAACCCAAACGCGCCAAAATTAGTATTAAAGAAATTTAATAAATAATTGTTTTTTAGTTTTAAAAGTGTGTAGCTATTGTACGATATACGGTTATAATTACGGTAGAGTTTATATTGTTTATAGTGCGTATTATTGCTTGACAAGTACATACAACTAAATGCTTACACTAAACGGCTACAAAATGCAGTACAACAATGCTGCAGTGTTATATTATTTTTTATAAGATAGTTTTTCTATATTAAAGACGAGTAAAAGTGATAGATATAAGGATAAAAATACGATACACAATGCAAACAAATTTTGAGATTTTGCATTATATTAAGCAAACAACACAAACAAAAGCAAAATATTGTATTTTTTGCAAAGTAATGCACATTCCGTATAAAAAACTAAAGTGATTGGCATGGTTGTCAATTGCTTTGCTGAAGTGTTTGGATAAATTATAAGAGTGCATTTTAGAATTTTTTTGTTTTTCAATTCACCCAAGATTTCACTTGAAACAACTGATTTTTTGGATAACAACAAAAAAAAAAGATATAAAGCAATTAAAAAAAAAAATTTGCAAATACGCCGAAGGTTACTCTTTAACCAACAAATTTTTTTGATTACTAGAAATAAAAAAAAATTAATTAATGAATTAAATGCAATGAAAAAATAAAAACAAAGAAAAAATACAAAAAGAATTAGAAATTAATCAAAAGTTGCAGTCCAAAAAATATTTAAAATAATAATAATTAAAATAATAATATAACTTCCAACAAGGCAATTTTTTATACAGTTTTCAATAAAAAAGTTTAATGCTCAAAATTAAAAAATAAACAACAAATTTTACAACAGTAGAGAAAATTGTAAATATTTGCAATTAAAAAAATTTTCAAAAATTTTACAAGTTAAAAAAAACAAAAAAAATCAAATTTTCAATATAATAAAAAAAATTAAGCGTTAAAAATTAAAACAAGTAAATTTTAATTACAATTTAAAAATGTTTTCAAGTACAAAACTTATTAAAAATTTGCATACCGTGGTCGAATTTAATATTAATGAATCCATAGATTATGGATCTTGTATACTCCCCGGGTTTCGATTTTCATTAAGATTTGAAATTAAACTCTAAGTTAAAAAAAAACCAAAAAAGTACAAAAATTTTCGAAAAAGATTGTTATTGAAATACTAAAATATTGTATTTAAAATTTTGATATTTCAATAACAAATTTTATATTTAAACAATTTTCAATGCCTAAAAAGTCGAAAATTTTTCGAAAAAAATATTATTGAAATACCAAAATTTAAAAAATATTGCTTATATACAAATTTAATTTAAAAATGTGAATTTTGCATAGAATCTTAAACCAAATATATATTGATAAGATAAAAATGTTTGAATTTTTTTTTTGAAGTAACATCGTAAAAAAAATTTAAGTTTATTATTTTTTCAATAAAAAATAAAAATTTGAATATTTAAATTTTAAACCAAATGTTTTAAGGACAAATTTCAAAAAAATTTAAAATTTGAAGAAAGTATAAAAAATAAATTTAAGTTATTTAAGAAAAATCAACTTTTTTCATAAAAAAATATAAATAATAAAATTTTAAATTCGAAGAAAAAAATATACTTTTTTAAATAAAAAATAGAAATCTTAATATTTTGATTTTAAACCAAATGTTTTAAAAAACAAATTTAAACAAATATTTCAAACTTTAAAAAAAAATAGATGTAAAGTTTGAAAAAATGCAAAAAAATAAACAATTTATGTTATTTATAAAATACATATCAACTTTTTTTAATAAAAATATTAAAATTTTAAGTAAAATGTTTCAATAAAATTTAATTTTTGATAAAAATGAAAAAAATATATGCATAGTATATATAATTTTTTTCTCGAAACCTAAATTTTTATTAAAATTTGTCTTTAAAATATTTTATTTAAAATTTTAGTATTTACTTTTGTTTTTTTAATTAAAAAAAGTTAATCTAAAAAAAAAACAAATTGAGAGGTTTAAAAAATTTTGCAAACAAAAAAAATATGTAATTGCAATAAAAAAACATTTAATTTAATTTTCAATTCCATAATGAAATTTAGTTAAAAAATTTTCAAAACTGTAAATTCTGCAAAAAAGTAAAGTAAAATAAAATGCACTTTTTAGCTTGACACCTCACACTCAAGCAAAGCAATTAAGATTCTCGTGAAGACTTAAAAGAAACTAAAACTAAAATTGGCGCTCTTCATATACCATACATATGCATGTGTAAGCGCACAGGTGATTTGGTATCAATACTTGTTAAGTTCAAAGTATTTATGCACTTTAGTATATATGTTTGTATTAACTTTTGTTCAGTTATTTTATGTTTCTTTTATGATTTGCTGGCGCACTTTTAAGCCTGCTGCACATAAAATGCTTCATATTTAGTTGTAGTTGTAATTGTGTGTGTTACTTATCAAATATTTATGCGATATGCGATGTGTGTGAGTGGTTCATACTCCTCCTCCTCTTCTTCTTTTTCTTCTGGCACTGACTACTGACTACAGTCAGTACGTTGCGCTGATGCTCTCAAATGATCATTTTTCTTAAAAACTACAAAGTGTTGATGATGCCGATAAATCTTAAAAGTGTCCCAATTGTTCCCCCCTTACGCTCCCCGCTCCACATGCAGTGTAAAGCAATGGAGTTCGTTTTTACTGGAAGATCGCTGCACGCTGTTGGAATTGTAAACGCCTATTGGCACGCTCCTCTTCCTCGCGACGTCGCTCCTCCTGCTCCTGTCGGATCTCATCGTGGAACTTATTCGATCGCAGTTGTTGTTCGATTTTGGCTTCGAAGAAATTTTTCGCGCCGGTTACGCCAACCTCCTCGACATTGATTTCGGTGAGACGCGCCAATTGATTGAGTCCGGAATCGTTGTCGAGCTCACCGGCTTGTGCCTTGCGGTAGATCAATAAGAATTCGCGGAACGAAATTTTACCATCGTGATCCTCATCGACTTCGGCGATCATTTGCTTGAGACCCAAATGGGTTTGTGGTGCGCCTAATTTTTCCATCATGAATTTCAATTCGGTCAGATCCAAATAGCCGTCATGACCAACGTCATATCTGAAAATAGTTGGATAATAAAATTATCGGAATTAATATATGAAAATAATTGATATGTTAGGGTATTACACTATAAAAAATAATGAATAAAAATATATAAAGAATAATTAAGTTCAGATTTATCCAAATGTTAGATACTATTGCAAATTGCATGACTGTAGAAATATGTAATCTACCTAATTTTCTCATGCGTAATTTCTAATCTTATCTGTTTGGTGGAACATCTATGTGTGATTCTCCACGTTCATAATGTTGATGAAAATGATTTCACACTCGCGGGATGATCTAGAAGGAAGTGCTGATATGATTCAACCTCAGCATCTGCAGCTGGCGTCCGGTAATATGTTCAACCTTACAGC